TTAACTTATAGTCATCACTTTTAACAAGTCCTCTCAAACGTACATGTACTGTATGTGCTGTATGTGACGACACGAATATAGCCGTGATGACATCAGGGTCGTGCATATTCATTACGCTCTCTACTGTCGAACCTTTTTACGCTACTGATTCGAACCCCATGAAAAGGTTTCCATGATTGATGATACCTGTAGTATTTAAGCCATGTCTGCATTACTTGGCTACGGCTAGCAAGAACCCATATGCTTATATAAGCCACTAGTTAGCGGCTCCATGCTTCTCCCATAGGCACGTGTGCCATTTCCAGCCACAGCCAGCCCTACTTACCCCAGTCGTGGATCTGTCCTCCGCTCCCACGGCTACCTTCTCCTGGTTATGACCTTTGAGGACAAAGTGGCTGGCAGCTGCCTGGTCCTCGTTGAATTTGCTCTTCCCTCCATTGGCCGCTCTGAGTGTGAAATCATTGGAAACTTGCCACTTTAATTTGTGAATTCGCTTTGGCTCTGCAACAAGTCAGGGTCCAAGATCTTTGTATATCAAAATGACCCTGATGAACGAAGCACATGATGTAACAACTGTTGCGCAAGCTTATTTGTGACAGTACCATGACAGTTTATTCTGAAAAAGAGCTGGCACAGCAATCCTCTTAAACAGGGTCCCTCTTGATATATAGTGTGTCACAAGCGGGATTCATCTACATGGCTGTACAAAATGAAATTTAACTTGTGTTTTTTCTCTTCAACAATGGAAACTAATTTCTGTCAATAAAAAAATTATACGCCAAAAACACTTAATTCTTATGAGTGAATCTATGTACACGTGCAATACCTTGGTTCAATATTTGATACAGCCTTTATTACACGTGTAAACTCAAATTATTTGCAAGTCACGCTCTTTATTTTCCCACTCATGGTTCCTGGTCACAATTTCCCTTATCCAGGCTTGTTTCCAGTGTTAAATAACAGGTGCAATTCCATCAAAAAGGTTTCCTCCTTCGTCTCACTTCCCTGGTAATTTCCTTGTTCATGTCAACCCCAACACTGAGTGTGATCTGATCTTACTCTTAAAACAGTTTAGCGCCAGTTTAGCGCCAGATGACCCCAAGTCATATAAAAATTACAATAATCCCTCCAGTTGTTGGTAGGGCCATAGCCCAACTCTGTCATTTCAAATGTTGATTTCACATTGTATGGTTTGTTGATTACATTCTGTACCATAGTAGTTTCACGTTATAATATCTGTGCATGTAATGTACGCTCCAATGTTTGCTCAAATTCTTCATCAGTCTTACTATATTAAAATACTTAGTACTAATTTTTAAAGACACAATTTGTTTCCAAAATCTGTTACATGTAGCTCAACAAAATGCTGAATTCAAATATCTTGTGATTTTACCAATTTTTAATTTGAGTCGCTTCTTAGTATTAAATCAAATTTTAGCTTAATCCTCAAGCCACTGTTTGTTTTATGATTTTCATCCTGCTAAGATTTACAGAGTAGGGGGCCTATAACAAGCATACGCTGTTGGATATAAATTACTTATACATATAAATGAAATGAAACAAAAAAAAAGGGTGTTGGAGAAAAAAATTCTGTTTGAAAAGTCCTTGTAAAAAAAGATTTAATTTCTCAAATTCTTTAAATTTTGGACAAAGTAATCTTACTCTGCATATCCACAGTGCCATGGCAGCTTGGATAAATCCCTGGGAACCATGATTGGTCTGATGACAGAGTCGGAAGCGATGGACACTTCCTCAGAGCTGAGCTGGAGAAATTCCGGCCTTGTGTAGGAATACTTCTCCTGCAGACCACGGCCGCTGGTGTCCTGCATATCCTCCACATCTTTTAGGCTACGGTTCTGGGGCATGTTTGCAATCACATTGTTGACAACTTGTCTGAAGCGGTTGAGCATGGTTGCAAACCACCAAGTTCAAGCTCATGTTGCACAGACTGGCACTAGTCCCAAAAATCTGGTTTCCTCATCTGCTGGCATGGGCTTGACATTCTCCTTATGTAAAAAGACATTAATTTCAGTTTATTCGGTTGTAAACTCCTTGCAAGACCGATGTGGTTCCTCCCTTGAACAAAGACATGAAAGAAGGTATAGGTCCTAGTTAGGCCATGGAGGAATAGGAACACAGGCCCGTCAGTATCAGCATTTTATGACATACGATTGTGAATCATGAGTAGCTTGCCTGGCACGTAGTCATGTACATGTACTGTATGTAGCTTACCGTCACCAGACAGCGTTCATCTACAGGCTAGGCGTGATTAAAACCAAATGACTAACCCGAGGCTGACCTGTTGTGATTCACACCGAACTTGCGCAGTTGCAGACTGAAAATATCGCTGTATAATCTCGATCATAATCGGGGGTGAAGTTTAACTTATTGCACGGGTAACTTTGGCTTTTTTCAACTAAATAAGCTGTTCAGGTTCATAAGTTTTGCAGTACAGCCGTGTACGTGTAAATGTCTAATCTGCGTTGCGTGTACATATACATATACATAACTACATGTACATGTACATGTACAGTACATAATGCTGTCACGGGTCGGTCATGTATCGATGACACCCATTTTCGGTTAAATATTCATGAAGTATCGACTACTGTGTAGCAAAGTGCTTAGGACTCCTTATCATGCGTTTTCGCCATGTCGTGATACTATAATAATCGAAAGTGTATTTGTATCATCATCGACATTTGCAAAGTCGCAAAATTCAGAAAAAATAAAACAAACCAAAAAACTTATTCATGAAAAAACTAGCCATAGATAAGAGAATCAAACGCACAACCGTTATGTATAAATACGGCATAAATATTAATTATTTTTTTCAAAATATTAGGAAAAAGCAAGGACGAGGCTTATGTCAACACGTACTCTTCAGCCAAAATCATTTGCGTAACCCTTATTAGATAAATCACTATGGATGGTATACAAATATATTATTAATATTTTTTTCTAAACTGTCAGGAAAAGAACAAAATATACTTTCATTAGCCTAAATCATTAACCAAAAAGATTGCCTTTAAATAAGCTCTTTGTTCCAGTGCAGTAGCTGGTTCGCGTACAGAGAAATTAACATAGCCACGCTCACGCCCCTGTGTCAGTTCACGTAATTGTAAGTTAAGGTCAAATTGCGCGACATAGCTATCAACTGAACACAGACAGAGGCTTTAGTCAAACTAGCTAGTCTCGCCAGACTCAAAGTTTTGTTCCAATATCAAATTGTTTGAGTAAAATGGCTGAGAAAACATTGTGTTTGTCTAAACAACCTGCAGTATGGATTGTTAATTGATGTTGCTCCTGGTATTCCCCTTTTAAAAATTCAAAAAAAGTTTGAGCCAGCCTCAAAGGATACCGCTGAATCAAGCTAAAGGTGTTGATTTTGTTGATCTTATGATGCAAAACAAACTTGAAGTCCAATGAGATTTAGATTTTTAAAATCCAATTTTATTTAGATCTAAATAACATTTACATTTTTATCCTAACATGGAAGACCTGAAAAAGTCCAAAATTTAAAGTCGGGTGACACAAAAGCATAATGTTTAGTTTAAGTATTATGCAAATCAAATTTTTTAGACGGGTTTTGAGACAACTTCACTCTCCAACTGATATCCTCGCACAAAGCTTTTTGGTCTAATTTTTAAATAGTTTTCTTTGAATTTTGAACCTATATGGTTATTATTTTACTAAATGTGGGTTAAAGAACTTCCCAGAAAAGGTTTTGTTTCGTTTTATTTTGATTACATGAATATAGGTCTGGAATCTCTGGATAGGTTGTAAGGCGTGAAAATGTCTATATTTTGACGCCTATGTATATTTTTCTATGATTTGACGTATAACTGATTTTGATTTTTAGGACAGCATAAATGTATTTTCCATCCTTAAGTATCTGGGCTTTTTAAGCTGTAAACGTACTTTCTTTACCCCTTTATGTTGAGCACGCTGCGTACACTTCTTTTTAATTCGTTAAGAAGTTGATTGCTTGATTAAATGATTGCTTGGAACTGCTTGGGGTTTCTTCTTTGAACGTATAATTTTAGTTCGCCCTTGTAGGTTTCCATACTGTGGAAAGGCGATCAAATCAAATCAAATCAAATCAAATCAAAGAGTTCGCAAAGTTTTCTGCCTAATATCCGGAAGCTTGCAGGGGCGGACCCAGGATTTTCCCTAAGAGGAATCGTGATCCTGGATTTTCCAAAGGGGTTGTGAACGAAAGCAGCAACGGTAAAATGCCCCGGCCCACGAGCACGTTCTTAGCGCCACAGAGACGCCCTTAAGGGCCTTACAGCGTAGGGTTCGGGCATTTTTGGATTCTAGACCCTCTGTGGTGCAATGATTATGCAGTATGACCCCCTTTCCCCCTTCTATTCCCGTCTTTTTCTTCTTCTTCTTTTTTTTTTTTTAGATTCATTTATTTATTTTTGGGTTAAAAACGGGAGAGGGCTAGCCCCACAAATAGGGCTGTAGTGGCTCGCTTTTACAATCTGTCTCTTAAAAGCGAGCCACTACAGCCCTATTTGTGGGGCTAGGGGGAGGGCGTGCACACTCCAAGCCCCCTCGGATATGAGTACGCCCCTGGCTTGAGAAGTAACTTGAACTGGGAACTAACGTTATATACACTGTAGAGGCATTGTTTCCTTCAAGATGACAGCTTGCCAGAAGGAATAATTTCACAGGGAGTTTAGTCCCATGCCTTTCAACAAAAATGGAAACTTCAAATGACGGACTGTATGTTACACGACTTGCATATTCATTATCGCTCAGGTGGCGGCTCTGGTAGTGCTGAACGGTTATAATGCAGTATGCTGCTAGCGAACTGGACATACTGTACATGTACATGTACATGTGTACTTGTGGCTACAGGCCAGTATATAAGCCAGTATAGTGTGGTACACGGTAACCGCTGCGGCTTAGATTGTTGCAGTGCACTGCAACAAGCCGCAGCCGCAAAGAGAAATGCATTTGTGTTACTGTGAAGAAAAATGGCGTCATGCGTAGGGGAATCACCGCAAGACAAAGCTAGTGTCGGAGGTGGAAATTGCTCACATGCTTGTGAAAGGTAAACCACTGTTTTGTGATAAAATGGCACTTGGCAGTTTAAAATTAGAAATTGACAGTGTTAACTCATATCTGTTACATTTTTCTTGGCTTGTGTTGATTTTTATCGTATCTATTTTCCACATCCTGAACATGCTGAAAGCCCGTCCCTTTCTGACATGTCGGATGCATTGCATCGAATTCGTGAAAATAAACTGGGGATTGGTAGATAGAGCATACGTTTTTGAATTCGGCTCCTAAATGACCTATATTATCGCGGTAACTCTATTATCGCGGTATGGAAAACTTTGAATTTTGCGTTGCTGGTGAGTTCCCTATCAGCAATATTCGTCCTGGTAATTAATATTTTATGGCCTGAGGATAAGTTTTATTAAAACAGAGTGAAAAGTTCTGCATGTTTCTGTAAGTTTTGATAATTTTTAATAAAAGAGGTAATTTTTCTGAAATTTGTAAATTCACTTTGACTGTGTCCATCATTACCTACCGTCTACCTCTTTAACAGTTGTTTCTAATGCCGTTCTGCCCTTGGATATCCAGGCCCCATATGTCAATTTCAAAATGGCTAAAAGGTGTCTAAAGGCACATTTTAACTCTGAAAATGGCCACTTTTTTGGAGTCAAAAAAGGGCTTCTGCCCTGAAAACTTTTTGTTTGCATAAAGCGTGGCGCCAATCTCCATTACAATAGACTTGCAAGTTATATCCATCATACCTTTACCCTCCACGCCTGGGGCTATTAGCGAATAATTACATCGGTTTTATTGTCACCTTTTTTTTCTTTTCTTAGGCCAAACAAAAATTAGTTGTCTTTCCTATTACACTGGGAAATAAATTAGGGTGGTTGATTGGGTAAAATATTTTTTTACTCTAAATTTTTATAGCCCAAAAAATTTGGGTCGGATGATAGTCTGTGGCTTTTAGGGGGGCGTGTATATTCTTAACAGGTACCAACTCAGTATCAGATTAATGCTGTACATGTGCATGTCAATATTACATATCAACACTGTTATTGAGTAGTAAAGCAGCTGGTTGTTGAAAAACAAACACACAAGAGCCATCCATCTCATGCAAAAAAATAAATTAAAACAATACAATGTACAGGACGATGTACACAAAATTAGGCTCAGGGCAAGGCACCTTAAGTCTTTATATTTTATTAATATGTCAAATAAAAAGTTATAGGTTACTTTTGGATCCACCTACATGTAAATATATGCAGATGACATTGGCCTCAGATTGAATAGTTGCTAGGTTAATTTGGTTGAAAGAGGACTGGGTTTAGCCTTCAGACTTTCAAGGGCAATTATGGGGTAAAAATTATCCATACACGTGACAAATGGAGGAATAACTTCAGATTGAATAGTTGCTAGGTTAATTTGGGTGAAAGAGGACTGGGTTTAGCCTTCAGACTTTCAAGGGCAATTATGGGGTGAAAATTATCAATACATGTGACAAATGGAGGAATAACTTTCACATGGTTGCTTATCCGTCAAAAAGTCAGATTTTTCCACAATTTATAATTCTAAACTCACAGAAAACAGGGTGAGCATACTCAGCATAATAGAGCTTGTGAAAAAAAGTAATTTGCATGAAATTCATCAGAAGATTTTATTTGTAATTTCATGCAATTCTTAGGAGAGGACTCACTATCACTAGGAATTACAATGCATTCAACGTGGCTGTTACATGTATGACAAAGTTATGAGTCCTCTGAAAGACCAAAGTCAATCTATTGGGCCTTGATATTGTAATCTTGGCCCCTTCTTTCTTAGCTTTCCCCATGACAGTGAAAAGCCCCAAGGGATCGCAGATATAGAGAAACCCAGCGATGATCAATCCCAACAGCAGTCCCAACCAGGAGACCAGACCGTTCCGGAGCATCAAAGTCAGCCACATAGAACAAAACTTTTTGTTAGGGTGGAGGATAAACAGTGGCCCATTGTCTACTCCCCCGATTACAACATTGGTTTCTTAGGACTGGAGAAACTCCACCCGTTTGACTCTGGAAAATGGGGGAAAGTTTTCAACTTTTTAAAAGGTACGGAATTTCCGCCCACCTCCACTAGCTAACCGTGTGCTCATGTACCAATAACAAACTTTTACTTATTTATTAATTAAGAGCAAATCATGGAGTGACGTCATCTAAGATATTGGATATTTGGTAATACTGTTTACTGAACCCCAAATCACAAAAAACAAAGAAGCAAACTCGCTCTGTATGTCACTTTTGGAAGTGCATTTTTGTCAGTGTGAGCATTGTTAGCTATATCAGTATCAACTGTCAACAATTCAAGATTAAGAATGCAGTAAATAAATTTCACACTGACAACGTGGTGCCACAGTTCAATATATTTCCTCGTTCACTTTAAAATGTCCCTAGTTCGTAATATTGTGTCAGGAAATTGTTGGTCCTAGGTCAAGTTCATGTACATGCACTTGCCAAACAGCACAGATCTAAAGTGACTGTAAACTTTTTTTTTTAATTTGACAGAAAAAGGGATGCTGAGTGATGAAACTATAATCCGTCCCTCAGAGGCAACAACAGAAGACCTCCTTGTGGTTCACACCAAAAAATACCTGGACAGTTTAAGGGTAGCGATTAAGTTCCTTTGGTTTGTTAATACACCATTTGCTCTACTCATCGTCCACGTCATTTTCTGCCGTGATGCCATGCTATATGTCTCTTGTCATCTGTTTGTTTGTCCAACTGTCTGCCTACATGTAGCTCTGGTTCTGGCTGCCCCATTCTTTCCTTAACTCCACCTCTAATATCAAGGTTGTGACCACTCATCTTCTTTGTAATTGTTTTGAAAGACGCTCGTCTTCTGGTTTTTGTGGGCTATGACATTTTTGGATACAATTAAAACACACTTAAATTTTACTTCCCTGTCTTAATATTTGGTAAAACTTTGTGGTGGGTGAGGGGGAGGCCTCGGTTTCAAGGGGAAGATTTTTTCTTCACCATTTTTTCTCTTTCCTTTCATTTTTCTTCAGCATCACACACCCTTGGGTGAAAGAAAAGCATCCTTTCTTCGGTCACAATGTTCTCTCTTTCTTGTCTTTTGCAACAGTATCGCAGCAAATAATTCCCAAGCCTCTGTATTCATTCTTATGTACATACTATGTGCCATTGCGTGCCACCGTCTTTCTCACAAATGTGCAGGTGCATCATGTGACTCTCTAATAGTCTCATTGTGCTCTTCAGTTTCAAAATATATTTTCCTGAAAGCATTAAAGTGTACAGAAATAGCTCTACAGTTTTTATGAGCAAAGCTGCTTCGTGAGAAAAAGCAATAAAATAACCACCTGCAGTACTTAAGATCAATACAGGCAAGTCAGGTTCAGTCAACCAAAATTTTAAAGGTTTACGATCCTCAAAATTACAAAATCTTTTGTTGACTGCTGTAAACATTTGACCGTTTATCACTGTAGTAGGGGACATAAAACTTGACCTTTTTCCCTTTTGAAATCCAGGTGTTGAATTTTAGCATGTGCACTAAAGTTTTACTTTCAGTATCTTTTCATGAAATTTTTTCCCACTTAGAAGAGCAGGAGGCTTTGCTTGGCTGTGGAAATTGTTAACGCAGGCTTGCAAGCCTCAATTCCCTCATTCCCTGGAAAATGAAATGACAGAGATGCATGGTTGAGCATTGAAATGTGATAAAAGAATAATTGATTATAAAAGAATGAAAAAAAATTAATTATGAAAGCTGGCCAATTTCTAACTCAGGGTGTGTGTGTGGTTTTGCTTCATTGTTGAGGCATGAGAATATTTTCACAGGTGTACTTTCAGAACCAGTAGAAAATACTCCATGTGTTTGCTCCGATTGGACAATTTTGATGTTGCATTAGCCAAAGAAGATCGTGCTACATTAAACCAAAGCTCTCAACTGAGAGGACTTATAATTCCTGAATTTAGAACTTGGACACAAAGCGAGATATGAGCTTATTTCCAAAGATGTATTTGCAAAATCCCCAGATCATTATGCTTTGGATGTTCCTACTCTTTTGCCCTCGTTTTTCTAAAAAAAGCTGGTCATTCCCTTTGCACATTTTTTGCCGCACACAACCGCTTAACACGGTTCATGCCGGTGGCTTTGTGCATTCCATGTTGGGCTGATGATAGCATTGTTATTTTTTTGCTTTGACAGGAAAACATTGCCAGAGCTATTCCTGAGGTACCATCTCTCCCTTTACAAAGTGCTTTGTGATTAGTCTGTCTTCCAGTCTGTTCTGTTACTGGTTCAGTGTGCTTTGACTCAAACAAAGACTCACTTTACACTACTTGTCATTTAATCTTCCAGCAGACTTGATGTAACAGTAAACTAGGCTTGAAGAATTTGTATAGTCAAGTGTAATGTTGGTACTGTGTTTAACAAACGTCAACCACCCCAAACTTGCTATAGTACTTTAAGTGAGTACATCACATGCACAGTCATGTGTGTAAAAGGCATTAGCACAAGAACCAGAATGTGAGCCAACACTGTCTGGTGCAAAATGACATCACACATCTGTACTCTATATCATCTCTAGGAGTACATCTTGAAACAAATTCTATATCGCTTGCATTATGCACTTGCCAACCTTGCAGTTGTGTTGAATATATATTTGATATGAATAGAAATGTGAGTACGTAAACTTTTTTGCTGAAATCTGCATTTACATTCACATGTAGGAAATGCACAAATGTTTGCAAAAGAAATTGGATTTAAGTTTGAGCCCTTTTGCGAACACAGGGACATCTTTTTGCACACTTTCATGTCCAGCTTCTCGGGTTCCTTCCCATTATCAAAAGTCAATATACTCAGACAGTATTCATTTATGCACGGTTCTTACCACATCTCATATTTCAACACCCTTTTAAGACTCAGAAAAATAACCTGTCTGTATTTTTGACACTGGTGAAGCATGAAAGAAGCTCCGAGACATTCCTCAGAAATCGATCTCTTTTTTTGGACCTTTTTTGAAATAACTTGCATTCAGCAAAAGATACCCCCAAATAAACTAAGTCTCCTGGCTGTTCAAATTCCATCCATGATTGCCTGACCATTTTGCAAAAGTTAGGCCTCACTGGAGAAAAAGTGCTTAAGTTCAGAAATTATCAAGTTTGCTGGAAGATAAAGTTGTTTTCCTCTGAGACAGTCTCAGGGAAAACATTCTTTTCAAATGTTGCTCTGCATTCAGTATCACTGCCGTATGAAACAGAAGTATTTTTCGCATAAAGTTCAAGTCACTCGCAGGATACAGGTAACTATTTTTGGACTGACTGCACAATTTGAGTATCAAAAGAACTAGAAATCAAAGTTGACTTTTTTATTAAAGCAACTTTTGAGCCAGTTGTAATTTTGTTGCATAATTATTGAATCAGCATTTTGATTGGTCTAGTCTACCCCTCTTCAGCTGCAATACCGCCCTCTTTTGTCTCTCTTTGCCTTTGTGCTCTTCTCAGGAAATTTTAATCGAAAATGCAAAGAGAACATCAGAGGAAAATCCTGCAAATTTCTCAGCTAAGAAAATTGCATCTTTGAAGTGTAAAGTTTCCAGTAAATGTCAAAGTACCATGTCTCTTTTTTTCACCTCTTTGACTTTTTTTAATGCATGATAATTTTCACACTGTTGTAACCAGCCATTATTTTCTTACATGTGCACCACTTTGCAAAGCTGCCTTTAAATTCCCTAGCCACATAATTTCCAGGATCTGTTGTTTTCCTTTACGCCTGTTTGTTATCAAAGTGACTTGCTGATACGTGTATGTTCTTTATTTCTTACCCCAATGTAGTTGCTTGTGTGTTTATGATTTGGTAGATGCTTCCTTAAGCTTTCATTCTTTTGCCCTCATACATGTACATGTAACTAAGTCCTCTTCTATTTTCTGTGCGCATTTCCTGCTTGTTAACTTGATACACTGTGCTGTGTCTTTAGTACTGAAAGAGATTTTGGCAAGCATAAAATGAGAGTAATGTGTACTTGTATTCTTCATAAAAATCATAAAACACTGTCATTGGTTGAAAACTTTATTTTTGTATGGTCAGACGTCATTTTTGCAGTCATGCATTACCTACTCTTCACCTCTTATGGGATTAAATAACAAAACCGTTGTGTTGACGTTGGTGAATAAGCCAACTTATTAATCTGAACATTAATTGTTTCGTTTTACCAAGCAACATTTCTTTTTAACATGAGTAAATTAAACTTTGAAACTCTGTTTCATGCACAAAATTCCCCACTACAGGCTTTCCCTTGACCTTGGAAATGTATAGTATTTCCCCTGAAGTTTTCCAGCTTAGAATGTTTACAATCAAGATTTGAGCTTGTGCCAGAAATTTTTTGTCCTTGAGACAAATCCATCATCACTGGAGTACATGTTGTGTACTGTTCACATTTCCACTTTGTTTTGTCCTGCCTTTTGCTTGATGTTAAATTTTATAGTAGTTTCTTCAAATCTAATTGTTGAAAATGCTTTAACGGCATTGTCACGTGCCTTACTGAAATTCATTTTTTAAATACTTTGTTTAGTTGCTTATTAACTGACATGATGAGAGGGGAAACAACTGCCAATTTTTAACACTTCAAGTAAAATACACTAACCTTCCAATAATTTGGGTAGTTTGAGGCAAATTTGAGAGTGAGTCTTTAAGACCAGACTCCATTCTAAAATGAAAAAAAAAGCTTACCAGTTTGTGTCAGTTTCTGGCACTGACAAATGAGTGAAGAGGAGGAAAATGAGGAAAAGAAGCACTACTAATGACTAATAATGTCACAAAAATGAGACAGTTTGTTGCATTCTGTTCTATTTGTGTGTTCAGTGGAGTGTGACGGTCGCAACCATCACTGAGGTACCTCCAGTAGCTCTACTCCCAAATGTGGTCGTCCAGAGAAAAGTACTCAAACCACTCAGAACACAGACTGGGGGAACAATCCTGGTGAGCAGACATCTTGGTTTTTACAGATTTCTTTTAGTTTTGACCATCATTCTTCTGTTTGTGACACAACTAGCCTGAAAATCAGAATGGACATAAATCCTCCCGGACGCTTGGTACAACAGACTTTCCAGGTTTTGGGAAAGCTCGAACTTGTTTTGGAACCTTTTAATAGCTCTATGGCTGGAAGACAGCGGGAGTTCAAAACATCTCTGGAATGAAATTTAACTTCCCTGTCTCCCTCTCACCAGGACTGTGATTGGGGTAATATTCAAGGTCAAAGGTCAGAGGCAGTTTGGCAAAGGTCCTTCTTGAGCAGCCTTTAAGGCTGATCTCAGCTTTGTCCCTGACTCTGGTTTCATCTTAAGTTCCAACGTCATTTTCAGAGAGTTACTGTTGAAATCAAGTAGGAATACTCCAAACTCTGACTTAAGGTTTGCATCTTCAAAAGTTAGATTTGCATTGACCCATATACAGTGAACCAGTAGGTTCTCCCTCGAGATTAAGTTTATGAAACCAGAGACCAGTGAAACCATTGTGAAAGATGAGGGTGACTTTTTTGCGAACTCCAACAAAGTGGCATAAAAGACACTGCCATTGATGAATGCAGTCCACCTCATACATGTTTTGTTTACATTTTGCTCTTAAGTCTTGGGTCTCTCACAGTGCTTTAACATGTCAATATTTGTAATTTGACAGAGTGACAGGTTTGAGTTTTGGTTTGGTATTTGCAAACATCAGTGACAGTTGATGAATGGCCAGCAGGGATTTGTATCCGGTGGTAACAGGCCTCTTGTGACTTCTTCCTTTAAACAGGCAGGCAAGTTGGCCATGGAGCGCGGCTGGGCCATAAATATCGGTGGTGGCTTCCATCATTGTTCCAGTGACAGAGGGGGTGGCTTCTGTGCCTATGCAGACATCACGCTTGCCATTAAGGTACAGTGGAATGAAATGGGCTTCCATTTGAATGAAAAGGGTAGTAAGAGTTGAATCAAGGGAATGAGTTTTCATGGAGAGAGTTTTTTTCTGGCACTGCCAAAAATGACTGGAAAGCAATTGCATTTGTACCATCATCCACAGATGACTAAATTTTTTAACCTTCAGCTTTTGGCCGCACATGACAAGTAAATGTTATGGAGGGGTTTCCTTCAGCTCAGGTATAGAATTTTACAAAATACTGTCACAAAAATTGGATAGAATCATCTTAGTTCATAACGTCTGACAAACTCTGCATTAAAGAAGCAGGGAGGCCATTTCCTGTCATCCTGTACTCATGCATTGGGCCAGGTGCCCTCTCTAGAATGGAAAAGGAATGATGTCCCTGAGCAAGACAAATTACTACAATCAATACTGTTATTGCTTGATTTTAATGTTAGAAGTGTTGTCTTGCTACTGATAACCATGGACACACACACTGACAGAGAATATCAGTGTCTTGTTTCTTCATCCACCGTTAACTTCAAGAACCCAGTTGCAAAAATTTCTCATCCACCATAGTTTGCACAACTTTGTTAATAATAGCATCTGATTCCATATCATTAGAGAAAGACAAGTGAATAAACAGTTTTGGTGATGTTTCTCTCCAGTTTCTTTTGCAGCTGGGTATGGTGAAGAAGGTCATGATTATTGACCTGGATGCTCACCAAGGCAACGGCCACGAGAGAGATTTCATGAACATGCAGGACACGGTCTACATCCTGGACATGTACAACAGAAGTATCTACCCTCATGATGGGTACGCCAAGCGTAAGTAGTGAGACTTAAGCGGAGTTTTGTAATTGAGACCTCTTAAGACCAACACAAGACCCTACAAGATTATCACAACACCAACACAACACCCTACAAGATCAACACAACACCAACACAAGACTCTACAAGATCAACACAACACCAACACAAGACCCTACAAGACTATCACAACACCAACACAAGACCCTACAAGACTATCACAACACCAACACAAGACCCTACAAGATTATCACAACACCAACACAAGACCCTACAAGACTATCACAACACCAACACAAGACCTTACAAGACCATCACAACACCAACACAAGACCCTACAAGACTATCACAACACCAACACAAGACCTTACAAGACTACCACAACACCAACACAAGACCTTACAAGACTACCACAACACCAACATGTGTGTATCGTGCTCGTGTACATTACATTGTACCTCATTTGGAAACTGCTGTTGTTCATTGATAGTACTTTGCCCATAACATAACATCACATCCACATCAAGGTAGAATTGTTTTCCCTTTCAATTAGCTAGTTATCGTGTTTTGTTTTGTTTTTCCAGGAGGAATTAGGCAAAAAGTGGAGCTTGATTTCTTTACAGACGATGGCCCATTCCTGAGAGCAGTAGATAAGTACGTACATGTAGTCAAACAGAAAGTGAATGTTGTCACTGCTGTGTTGACATTCAGCGAAAGAAAATTTAACCACATACCAGGAAATTAAAACCACAAAGGACACGCAAACTGAGAAGTCTATCCATTGTAGCTGGTAACCAGGAAAACCTCAAAGCCAAAGACAGCCTTTGATTCCTGGCCTGCCAGCCACCACAGGATCCAACTAATGACATCATTGAATGGGACTTGGGGCCTGTTTGTTTCACATGGATTCGGATCACGATCAGCGATCCCAGAGCTGGTTTGCACTTACCATCAAGCAGGAACTGGTGTCAGTGAACCAATGACGGATCACTGATTGCGATCTGGATCTGTGTGAAACAAACAGGCCCATTGTCCCTTGTGTTTGTCTTAGATATCGGCAGCTCACTTTACTGCCTAACGTGACGAGATTGGTGCACCTGACACGGTTGGGGTCAGTTAGATGAAGTGGATGTCCATAACTGATGTGACCCTCGTTCAGTATTGTAATGTCCTCACCACATACCAGAAGATATTACAAATGCACTGGAGTCAGAAATTGGGGACAGATAGGGTGATAAACACAGTGACACCCTCTCCCTGCCCCAAGCACGCTCTAAAAATGCTCCCACATCCATTCAATAAAGTCAACATCCTAAGTTTCTGTGTCTGACGTAGATATTTCAAAAAAGCTTTGGAGGAATTCCTACCCGATCTGATCGTCTACAACGCTGGTACAGATATACTCGAAGGAGACCCTCTGGGTGCCTTGTCCATCTCACCAGAGGTAAGAATGTCAGAGTTGCCCCTAGTCAAGGAGGGACTGTCTCCCCTCTTTGTTCAATCCACCCTCGTTTAACTTGTCCTCTCCCACAAGCTCTGCGGAATTGGTAACAATTCACTTTCTTCTTGTGTGAATACGGAAGTGACTTTTTACAGTAACGCTGTAACTGATCTCAGAGATGTAAAACGCAAGAGGTTTTTGTCTTTGAGAAAGATTCTATTGGATCACAACATCAAGCCCTCCTACTTTTTGGAGTTGTATTTGAGGTCACTATAGCCAGCACGCAGTTTGCAGCAGTTTTTGTATTATGTGCTCGGAGGTTTATAAAGTGATTTCATTTCTAAAACGTCTTCAGTTTTGTGCCTGGGAAATCAGGAAATGTACAGCATGCCAGATATTGTGGATTTTACATTTTACGAAGCAGACCAACATCTCTTTACAAAATGAAGATATGTTGGGTGTTTTCCAAGGCTGTGCAGAACTGTGGACGTAGACATGCGCTACATAGGAACTGTAGGGGTCTAATCCTGTAGATGTTGTATATGTACAGGGCATCATACAGCGAGACCAGCTGGTGTTTGAGATAGCCAGGAGGAGAGAGAGGCCGATTCCACTCTTGATGGTCACGTCTGGCGGTTACCAGAGAAACAATGCCAGCATCATCGCGGACTCCATTCTCAACCTCAGACGGCTCAAGCTGATTGAGTGCCCGCAGGCTGAGGAGCACCTCAAGGCCCAAGGTACGTTTCTCTTCCCACTCCTTGCCTCTATGATCCCCACCAGCGAAAAGGCCATGTCTATTAATCAAGTGGCTGTGGCTAGCTTTAACACACATCTGTGGGAGTGGCTATAGCCACTAGCCTGCGTCTTCCCATAGGAGCAGGTGTTATTTCCAGCCACAGTTAAGTAATTTGGATGCAGCTTAAAATTCTGTCCTATCCTAAGAGAGACATGTTATTCAGAACATTTTCACACAGTACAAATGTAAAGTTTCAAATCGATCTGAGATACGGTTTCGCTGTTCCAGTCATTTGAACTTCAAGGCCACGTACGTACCAACCTGTGTGCACTGAGCATGGCAGTAGAGTAGTAGGTATACATTTTTGGTTGACCCATCTTGGAAAAATGGGTGCTGTTGGAGAACAGTAGGTTTGATTTTCACAAAAGTGGCGTCAAAATGACTGCAAAGACTTACTGAAAAGACTCAGCACGTGAAAAAATATTTTGGCGATATTTGAAAAAATGTTGAGGGGGATGGTTTCTGGCTCTCTTAGGGTTAAATTAATAGGTAATGCACAGGTTGTGTGCCTCAAGACCTGCGGTATGTTTCTCTTGTCTCCTTTCTTCTAAGTCTCCTCTCCACCGCTAGTAAAAGTCTCTACCCAGAATCCAAAGCCAAGTTCTAGGTTAGGAAACCCTAACCTCATTTAAACTGTTCCTCGTCTTAAAAAGCCATCTGAAAGTTGCAGAGGACTTGTAGGGGCTGAAAAGGGTAGAGCCCAGCCCGTGTTAATTTACTTTAGCGGACCGGCCCCACGTCAGTTGGACAGTGGGAGGAAGGAGGAGCGTTTCCCTAATTAAAGCGGACGAGCACTTGGAGAACACGTGAGCAATAAATGATGTCTAACTCCAGAACTACAATTTATTAAATATGAAAACAGTTGGTGTTGTGTAATGGCTAGACGGCACTGTAAAAAACAATATAATGAATGGTGTAAGGCTAACACTGCTAGCCAACCAATACAGTGTGGCATGTTGTAGAACAGAAAGCAGTTACCACGTTGGGCCCCGTAAATCGTACAATTTCTCCGACAGAAGATCGTGTGAAGTATTTATACAATGATAAGTACTTACTAGGGGTTCCTAGCATTGACTCTCTCCCACACCAAGGGGCATGGCCGAAGCCATGCTCCCTGCAAATTAATAGAAACAAAATGCAGAGGGTACAGTTTTACATTCGAAACCCCAAAAGCAAAGAGATCACCTTCACACCGCGTGCCCGGGAACCCTAAAAAGTATCCACTTTATGTTAATTACCTCCGTGACGCGTATTGGAAGGATGAGGGCGCCCTTACTAAGGTACGGTTCCCTACATTACATTTGACTTTGATGCCTTGTGGTGTAAAGGAGGTTGACATTGTGCTGAAATCTATGCGCAGTACAACCTTGTCCTTTTGGGACCTCAAGACATTTCACACACACTCCTGTCTTGTTTTTTGTCACAGTACAGCCTGCAAGTCGAGAATCTGATGTGGACACCGGAGCAGCCAATGCAAATCCAACTGGCACTAGAAGCTGGAGATCGTGGTTTAGTTTTAAGAAATAGTACCGAATGATAGAGAGCAGAGATTTGTTCTAGTTAACTGAATGTGAACTCTGACGGCTTGTAGGAAATATGAAATTTCTGACTGGCCCTGTATTGAGGGCACTGTTTCCTTCGCTGGGAAAATTTCGGACCAAATTTGTCGACCAACACACGTGTAGCGAGTCCTCACAACTGCACTGCCAGTACATGTAAGGTTGTTTGCCTGCACTGGTGTCCAACAACATTATCTCCTGGTCTTTATTTTTTACAGTTGGCAATCAAGATTATCGCCCACTTCCTCTTTGTTCCAATGGGCGTGGCAAATACGAGGGAAACAGTAAGTTGTCTGGGAAAGTAACTGAAAAGTCATGAAAAATGGAAAAAATGTAATTCATTTTTTTTTGATACTGAGAGAAAGGGGAATATTTTTGTCTGTATCAGTTCTCTCCCTTTATTGTTATTATCATCATAATGTTGCTAGCAGGCTGGATCTCCTGCAGCGATCATACCTCCCTTGTTCCTTCGACAGGCAGCCAGCTCAGTTGTGGTCTCCACCCTAGAATCCCTCCTCTTCCTTCCAGAAGTGTAAAAAAACCCCCAAATGTAGGCTGACCCCTCGGAAGGGACATAAAAAGTTGCATGAAAACAGTTCCAAATTTTTGGGCCCCCCCAAAAAAATTCCGTTCTGGATCTGCCCTTAAGACTGAGGTACTATATGTTGAAATAAACAGGATGTAAAAAGTACTTGTATAGTTTACATACATATATGCAAAGAGAACTTCCGCTTTATTTAATTGAAAATACTTGATTTCAGTTTAATCCTTGTCCATGCAGAACATTTTACTGAATAATGTTAGAAGCATATTTCAAAAGCGATCATCGTGTACTTTGAAAATTATGTACGAGCCCTTGCTCTCCCACTGTTGATGGTTATTTGGTTGGGCCATGTCTGAATGTAGACGTGTCGGCCATCTTGAAAGTGAGGTCAAACTTTTCTTTTGGGGGACCTTATGGGTTGTACTACACCAAATACGCGCTCATAGAGAACAGTGCAAAATCAGACTGAAAAAGTGCCGCCTGTTGACTCTCGTGAAGAGGTTGGCCTTTTTTTTTTTTTCACTGGAAATTCAAGATAATGGCCAGCAGATCACTTTTTGTTTCAATTTTATGGGGGGTAAGCCACGAAAAAAATTTTTTATTTGCCCTTTCCCAAAGATACCCATAAAATAGTTGTAAAACTATGCACTCAGCTCTGAATGTGGCCGCCCGCCTCTGTCCAAAATAGGCCCACAATTTTGGATTTTTTGTCATACCAGCATTTGTTAAGATAATTAACATTTTTGATTAAGGAAAAACAGTCTGGCACCACCCCATTTGATAGATTTAACACCTTAAATATGGTAGATTCAGGAAGCAAGATGATTAAGGTCTTTTACCCAGCTGAAGCTGGGAACAACATGAACACCTACAGAATGAAGCAAAAAAGGAAGTACCTTTCATATATACATGTACATGTTCCTCGCTATTCTGCACGAAGTCACTGTAATTCAAGCTTGGCTAGAAATGTGAACCGTTCTTGCCACTTTTAGCTGTAATGTTCTATGGTATGCAAACAATAAATTTATTGATATATCAGTTGTGTTGGGTTAAAACTTTTTCCCGGGGATCAAAATGAATTTTTGTGGATTGTGTAAAAACATCATGTACAGTATACATTGCATACACTTACTCTGTAAATTGTGTTTAAACAAAACCTTCTAATGTAAAATGAACATCGTGCCACATAATTGGTCAGGTACTTATGCCATATTGAATGCTGTACTGGGAGACAGTGGCTGCAACCGAATCTGTCGTCTAGAGCTAGGTCTAGGTCTTCGCTCCATTGGAAATGCATGGAGACTCGCAGACAATAGACCTAGCCGTAGCTCTGGAAGTCGGTTTGGAACACGGCCAGTTCTGTCCATGGACAGGCTCCTTTTGAGAGTAAAAGTGAGTGTTATGTATCTTGTTAAGAACATCACACATTATTTGAAGAATTTCACGTCGTCACTGCATATCCAGCAAGAAATGAGACCAAGGGGTACCCCCCCAACATCCAATTGCTATACACACTCTAGACTATGATTACCTAACACATCCCCCTAGATGTCTGAAAAGAATTCCTAAGATACCAATGAAACAATGACCAACACAAAGGGGGGGGGGTTTCTCCGTCTCATACTTGCTTCATATGCGTCACTGGTTCAACCCTCCAGAGTACCCTTTATATAACCTTTGTCCTGGGGAAATTGTAGATCTGTGTAAACTATTCCACAGATGCTCGTCTTCAATGTCTACATTAATTTTTTTTCAGGAGTTCTGTTTATAGCTTGTGTTAGAGCAAACAGAGCTGTTTGTTTAGATTTCTCAATCCATTCGGTGTCCTGACGAAAACAGGAATAATGTACCTGAAAATAGTGAGTGTTTTGTATTCATATGTAAATGTGTAAACAGGTGTTTTGTGATACATGTACAGTCAAACCATGTTAAAAAGAGCATTGTTAATGCAAGATTCTGATTGTAACAAGGAAATTTTTGGGTCCCAATCCTTTGTTTTTCTTTGTATCAATTCCTGATAATGCAAGGTTCCTGTTATAACAAGATAATTTCCCAAGTCTGAAGGACCTCATATTAACAAGATTTTGACTGTACATGTATGTGTTTCTTGTAAAATCAGTCATATTTCTGGTGATTAATCCTCTGTGTTAATGGCCTGTTTTATATTTCATGACGTATCTTTTTATGCATGCAGATGGAAACCAACTAGACATACATGTACATTTGCACATGCATTACATTTCAAGATTTTATGCTATTTTTTAGGCTCTGCTCTTTCTCCTGAATACTTTCTTGCCCAGAGGTACTTTCATTTGCTACATCCTGTCTGTTCCTGCAGTCATTTGGCATGTGAAATCTTTTGTCTGTCTTTTCCAACTCAAACAGTTCTTGACTGCAAAAACATTGAGATCCAAGTGCAATACATGTACAAAGCATGTGAATTGGTTAAATATGTACAATGCATGTAGAATGGAACACTTTTGTATAAACTTTAAAATCTAATTAAACTCACAGTCCATGCAAATACATTGTTGTGCCGTTTTCTGTCTTATGTGGTGCTGAATATTGATATGTTGAAACATGTACCGTGGTTTGGTTCCAGTAGCCAACATTGCCGGGATCAGCTCGATAATACATGTTTTCAGTTGTACAGTGTTGAAACTATTGTGAGTTTATGCACAAAAAATAAGAAAAAGCTTCAAATGATTTTGGAAGTCCACTATGTCCACAGAGTTGACCAGACATTCTGATGCAAACAACTAAGACTCTTCTGTGTTATCTTCAAAGTCTTTATTTTAATATATACAACACAAATGAAATAAAACTCAATAAAATTACAATGTCACGGGTGGTATAGAACGTTGGACGGACAATACGGCTTTGAAAGATGGAGTTTCTAACTTCAAATGTCAATTGTCATCTCAAACACTGCTTGGGTGGAGAAGTTGGAAGCAAGACTTTTAAACATTTAAAATCAATATGTTTTGTATGTACATATACAATGTATATGGATTCAGAGGTCAACAGCTGCCCACACGTCACATTCCTCAGCATCTGTAGAAAGGAATCCGAGGAGACCAAATTTTGAAGTGTGAAAAGTCCACACATACGCGGGTGGTGATAGGTCAAAATCCCTTGAAAGTAGGAATTTCCATATTAGGGAAACTTTGCAAAAACAGATGGGTTGCATAATAGCAGTATCTGGCTCTCAAAGGCAGAAAAACATAACGTGGGGTTACTTTCAGAAAGTTCCTCTTGGAAATAGAATACTGAGATTCTAGAAATGAGCCTTGTATGTCCACCCCTCCCTAGAATTTTGCACTGGGTGGGAGGAGATGTGTCTAGACAGTCTATAGTTTACATCTAGATGTCAAGGGCCTTTTCGGTCACTATCTCTACCGACTTGTCTTGTTCCACTGCTGAAAGTATGCTGCTGTTGGTCGGTTGGTATACACCTCGTTGTCGATGTACTCTTGGCTGCAAAGTAAAGAGCAAGGAAAAAGAAATCAATTATTGGAGTGTAACGATTGTGTAGACACAACGAAGAAATAACAGAACTAAATCTTACACTATTTCTTAGAATTATTGTACAAGTTATCGTGGTGTCTTCCTTTCGAACATGAGAAAATTGGAGAAGTTACATAAACCCTGTAAATGGTGAACTTGTAAGTTCATAGGAAGGAGTCGTTACTGATCTGTTCAAGAATTCAGATGTCTAGGTAGCTTTGTAGCAGTAAACCTTGATTCAATGACCTCATGTTCAGTTATAAGGGCGTCCTTGTGAAAAAATATTGTAAAGTGTTGATTTTGAAGTCCCAAGTTTGAATCTTTTGCCTTTGTTTTTCTAGTCCTTTAGTGACAACGTTCTGGTTATAACAAGGTAAGTTGGCAAGTTTTTACAACCTTGTTCTGAGAGTTGCCTGCACTCACTTTGATTTTTGTTCAGCGGCAAGTCTGGTGTTGGCAGCAACCTGTTCCTTCTCCAGTCCCTTCCTGACCCTGTCGGCCTCCCTCTCCATCAGCAGCCCGCTCCTGGCATCAAACAGCCGCTGCCGCTCCCACTCACGGTCCCGTTCTACCTCGTCCTCCTGGATGCGCTTCTTCTCCTGCCGCTGCAACTCCTGGATGCGGCGGATCTCAGCCAGCTGCTCAGGGGACATGCCCTTCCAGCGGTCGGTGATCACGCGGTGGGGGCCGAAGGCACTCTCGGCCACGTCGGGGTTCTCCGTCAGCATGTCGCCGTTGATGTGGTTGACCATCTCGGTGAAGTTGTCGTCCAGCTCCTGCTGCTTGGCAAGGCGAGCCTTCTCAGCCTGTTCATCAGCCTGAACGTGAGAAGAGATACAAATTTGAAATTATTCATTCGGAATCAGTCAATCATTGTAATATGCATTGCTACTGTACAGTAACTCTTACACAGAGCCAAACTTTTTTAACAAAGAGCGGGACTCACCAGTGCTTGGTTATAATCCTTCACAGTCTCATTGATGGCTCGTTGGCATTCCTCTTCCATCTTAGCCAGTGCCATGGCCCTCTCGTCAGCCTCCCTTCGGTGCAGATCATACAATCTGTCGGCCTCTCTCTGGAGATCTTTGTGCCTCTTCTTCTCCTCGGCCTGCCGCCGGGTCCACTCCCTCATCTGCTCCTGCATCAGCTTCTGGCGGGCCTTGGAATTGAGGTCCTCGCCGTCAAACTTCTGAGCCCCTGAGATGCCGCAGCGGGGATCGTCATCCGAGACCCGGGCGGGCTTGTCCTTCTTCTTGCCATCCGGGTCGTTGAGGTCCCACTCCCGCCTGGAATCTGGTTGTTGATGTAAAGCACGGAACTCGTTGAGCGCTTTGTTGAGGTTGCGCACATCTTGCTCCCGTCTGCGTGTGAGGAGTTCAGCAATTTTATCATTGCGGATTAGATCACTGGCTGTAGGGATGAAAAAAATTGAGATAACGGGTTAAAATATTTGACAGCGAAAAAGTTACTCAAAAGGTGAACATGTTGATGAGATTAATGCCAAAACAAACGGCTGAGGTAATTCGCTTACCGAAAGCTTCATGTCTCTGTTGTTCTCGTTGCTCCTGTAGACCTCTGTCATGTACTTGCTCTTTCAGGGCTTGAACATCAATCTGTGTACACAAAATTAAGCAGTAAGCAAATCGACAAATGGTCTTAATGTTAGCTTATGGCCAATTACTGAATTAGGGGCCCAAATCTAGTGTCTGTCGTATGTCTAAAGGAAGCTAAAATTGTTTAGAATAAAAGACAGTTTTAAAAACTGTGTTAGGGGCCTACTAACGTGAGGCATGGCATGGTCTGATCGCCCCTGAATGAGCATGATACTTTCTTACACCAGAATAACCGGCCCTAGGCCTACCCCCCAAAAGTTCTTTTTCTCAAATTCCTTTACTTTTTGTTCAAGCTTTGGTTAAACATTTATTTAGCAAAGCACTTAATTCTAAATACAGCAAAATCACCTCGTCCCAAAATCACCTCGTGTTTGATTTCGAGTAAAAAAAAAAACTCTAGCAAAAACACCAGACTCAGCGGCAGCTAAGGACTTCAACTCACCCCAATTGTGCGAACTTTGGCGTTAAAAATTCTGTTTTGGCGTTCCAATTCTTGGTTTCTTCTCCGCTCAATTGCGGCTGCCTCCTTCAAGTCAATCGGTAAGTCCAACTTATACATTTTGATATGTTACAGAGCCTGGCCAGATAAAGTTTTCTGGGTAAATTTAGGACGGTGAAAACTCCACGCTCCACGTTTCTTGGACGGATTGTGTATGACAAGTTTTGCTATCGGACTTCATGCTTTATGCTGTTGTTAAGGGGCGTTGCTATGTTCGTGTCCGATAAACAGCCAAACACGGCTCCAGTCAACTTCGACTCAAGTAACAGAAATTGTGGTTGGACACATTTTAGGTCTATCCCTCAGTTGAACCAATGGACGTCGATGTTCTAAAAAGTGGTGAAACAAAAGATGAAGGCGCTGTATTAGATAGGACGCCCTCTTGTGATCAATCCGCAGAGAATTTCTTTCGCAGAAATTCTTCTTCATTCAACTTTTGCAAATTTCAGCATGATGCAAAATAAGTCAAAGTTTCGTTGGTCATTTTGAGCATAAGCACGGATGAATGAAAAAACTTGACAGTCAGCAGATGGGTGCAGGTACAGCTCAGTATTGGCAAGTTGACTAACTGAAAACTGGCCCAACTTAGGCCCTATGCGGGTTCGCCGCTGGCGCTGGCCGGTCGTCCCAGGGGTTTGCTCTTGAGATTGAATGCAGTGTACATGTACATGACGAAATTGTGTCATGTTTAGGATTGATTAAGATAAATAAACTTCATTTAAGTTTGGAAGCACTACCCCCCTCCTATCCATTGCTACTGAACCCGACCAATTTTTCCATAAACATCACCAAATTTTAAAACCATGAAAACGGGTGCTGGGCAATTTAGGCCGAGATAGGGGCAGCTTACTTTTGAGTTTACTTTTAACAAGGGAAGCGATTCAGAACAGGTTTTTGAAAGTCGGATGAACTTGAGCCTAGGCCTTGGATCCAGGCCTAGTGCCCCTTCGAGCTCGGATGGGTGGAATGAGGGGAAAGAGTTCCATTTATGGATGGTATGCCACTCGATCCTGTGCACAAACCTTTGAGACTGGTCTGACATGTCTGAAAAATTCTAAGTGATTTCTAAGTAGGCTAAACAACTTGGATTTTTCCCTCCTAAATTGAACTTTTCTTGACACGTTTTTGCTTTCTGATGCCTGATAGGTCACTGTAGGGAATAATTACTGGCGTCTATATATGGAATTCTTCCCGAATGAGGAACCCTCTGGTGATTGGTGATAGGGTGAACGCTTGCGAGTCAACTCCTACCATGGGCAACTCGTACCTTGGACAACTTGTACCTTGGACAACTCATACCTTCATGTTATCAATTCGGTTGTAATTTTCTTGTAATCTTCATAAATCTCCCAGAGAGATCTGGAGCGCCAGCATGATTTTCTCCATAGTGCCTGCTGCAGGCATTTGCGCCGTCGGTTTACCTGACGGATGTCAAACAATCCCAACCATTCACCATTGGGGGAGACGTTACTAAACTCTAAATTCTGGCCACGTCGACCAGCGTCAACTGTCTGACTGTGCGTGCACATGCACGACGTCGATGCATCTCACATTAATGTCACCCCATCGGTGTGTAGGGAAGGCTGTGTAGCCAAAACGACAAATTAGATGATGAACACATGACTAAGAAATCAAATTACTGTTAAAGTTATTTACAGTTATGATAAGCTCTGATTGATTTCTGTGAAGGTACAAGTTGTCTCGTATGCGAAGGTGTGAATTGTCTTTACTGGAGGTATGAGTTATCTGAGGTGCGACTCAGCAAAGGTATGAGTTGGTACAGTTATGTTGAGTTGTCCATGGTATGAGTTGTCCAAGGTACGAGTTGTCCAAGGTACGAGTTGACCTGTTCCTGGGATGAACTTGATATAGGCCTAGGCCTATATGACAAAGAAAATTATGATGCAATTGCCTTCATAAAGAAAGTAGACATGCTAGGTCTATTTGAAAGTATGATTTTGAGGGGCGGGGTTATGCACCTTTCCATATAAATATTGAAACTGTTATTCAGTTTTTTACCAGTTACATGTAAATTCTTGCTCAACTTTATTTTGGATGCAGTCAGTTTACTGAGATCGCAGCAAATTGGAAGTGTGCCCTTGATCACTTGCTCTTGAAACCCACGTCAGAATGTTGGTCCCAGTCTTCACCTTGAAACTCAACCATAAGATCAACCCCCGCATGGTGACCCTGGGCAAGTATGACGGCAAACATCCAAATCTCACTGCAGCCACCACTGCTGGCAAGGTAAACAGGAAAAAAGATATCAGAGAATCCCCGCCTCCAATTTACTATTTCAACATTTTTGTCCGTAACTTGGCGGTGTGAAGTTAGTTACTTATTCCTCGTTTGATGTTCGACATTCAGTGTTTGATAGGAACTGTTACCAGTTCAGCAACTGCTCAGGATGCACGTCGCTAGAAACAATGGAGTGCAAAAGGGACAAAAAACAAACTGTGCCACCTACATTTCAGGCCTTGTTTGACCACAAAAAGCACCAGGTTGAAAAGACTAGGAGTCGTTGCTGATTTTGAACAGTGAGATCAGATTCAGTGTACTCTCCAGGCGGGGCATGGGGTTGGGTATTTTATTTCGATTTGAGAAAAACGTGAAGTGATGCATTCTTTTCCTACTCTGGTTTGCAAGCGAAGAACTCCACTCACAAGACTTTAGTCCAAGCTGTTTTGACCATGGAAAACTGTATTGCCCTGGTTGAAATGGAGGCAGCAGGGTCGCTAAAGTGTAGCTAGAAACACTTGGAAATAAGTTTAGACCCAGGGCGTGGGATTGATGTATATTATTTCAATTGAATGAAATACATCATGTAGTTTGGATGGAAACAGCAAGTGTATAAAACTAACAATTTTTTCCCCTAATAATGATATTTCCGTCAAAAACTATCGCCTACATTTCAGTTCTTATTTGTCCCCAAAAACTCCTATACCCAGGGTTGCCTTTGTAAAGAGAGTTGTGTGTATATACATCATCTTGAAATGACATGTACAATTTAAATAAGGACATGTACATGGGAATGGATGTGCATTGTGGCACAATTTGTTTTTTTCCCCTTTTGCACTCCATCATTTCTATGGGTGTGCACCCTGAATGTCAAACGGTTATTTGTTCAACCCTGGAATATCAAAGGGTTTCTTGGTTCAACATTAAATGCCGAGCAAGGAACTAACTTTACATTGGTCCATAACTCTGGGATATCCAGAGTTGCGTTTGATCTCCTGAGTCACAGTGGGTGTGGTCATTGGTGATATTTTACAAGTTCGGGGGAGGAGGTGTGTGCCTTCCCCCCAGCAGAAGTCCCTCCCCTTGAGATTTTGAAATGCACGCTGCCTACGTACAATCCACAGCACCCTTACAAAAATGTACATACCTGAGGGGAAGACGGCTGGGGTTATAACTCCCCTTTAACCACTAAAACCAAGAGAATGAAAGAAAAACGTGTCAAATTCCTTCTTCCCCAAATCTAGGTCCGCTTCTGGAAGTAATTACTGAGCAGTGTATTAATTAAAGCAGGTTAAAACAAAGGTTTCACAGAGGCTGCTGTATGAATCTTTCTTAATCAAATGACCTTCGTGTCCAGGTTTTTGTCCACAACCCCCACACTCGAATGGCCAATGCCAGTGGCCGTGCCGTGGAAGCCAGTGTGGATTCGGACGTCAGCCTGCTCAGCATCAACCAGAAAGTCAGCGCGGTGTGCGCGGGTTCACTTGACTCGCTCGGGATCAGCGACGTCCTCATGGTTGGCACCCAGACCAACTTGCTGGCCTACGACGTGCAGAACAACACTGACGTTTTCTACAAAGATGTGAGTTGTGAGTCTCCTTGGCTCTTGTAAATTGTAGGATAGCACAGGTTGATTTTTTTGTCATTTCGTTAAATTTTGTAATCAGCTATTGTAAGTTGTAATGAGTACGTTGGTACTTGGAAACAGATCCTTGAAGTGAAGTGCATTATTGGTCATTCAAGAATGTCAATTTATGGATGTTAGATTGGCTCTATCAGCCTGGCCATATGCCTAGTCATGAGCACTGAATATGCTCAAACTGGCTTGACATCAGGTGCCTTGCCTTTTTGAAATATCAAACTGGCTCATTAAACCTACCACTCCCAGAATTCTAGTAAAATCCTTTGAGATTCAGTACGTCTTGTCAAATTTGTGTCATTGATAGAATGGAGTGCTTGATGGGGATCAGGCTTGAAGGTAATGACAGATTTGGCAATTTGTTTTGCTCCTAAAAGGCTCCCGATGGCGTGAATGCCATCGCTGTGGGTCAGCTGGGAGATATCGAGACACCGTTAGCCGTCATCGGCGGCAACTGCTCACTACAGGGCTATGATAGCGAGGGCAACGACCTGTTTTGGACGGTGAGTGATCGACTCTTCTTAAATTCCACACCTCCCTTGAAATACACCCAGATCTATCAAAACCCAGCGCACCAAGTTTTTGTTGCAGTTTGTTTCATTCAGGGCTCCGCAGTGCAGTTACCCTCAATTCACATGGGGTTAATTTTCACTAAGATCAAAAGACATAGATGATTACAGAGGGCTCCTGCATAGTGTGGAATACCTTGCAAAGCTTTGTAGCACAAATACTTGAAGAGCAGGGCATTGTAAACCTTGAAAGTCTTCAGTCCTACGGTGTAATTACATGTGACAGTCCTCAGACCTTCACCATTTAGCGGATTGAGGACTGTCTGGGGAACAAGACTTCTCAGGATAATTGATGAGTTTTCAGTCCTACGGTGTAATTACATGTGACAGTCCTCAGACCTTCACCATTTAGCGGATTGAGGACTGTCTGGGGAACAAGACTTCTCAGGATAATTGATGAGTTTTCTCACCCGTTGTCTGTGCATTTCTGTTCTTAGGTGACGGGAGACAACGTCTGCTCTCTGGTTCTCTGTGACGTCACCAATGATGGGGAGCAGGAACTCATCGTTGGCTCCGAGGATTTCGACATCCGCATCTTCAGGAAGGACGAGATCATCTCAGAGATGACAGAAACAGAGGTGTCTTTACCCATTTCCTGCAGATCCCTCGAAATCTATTAGGACAGTTTGATGGATTTTAAAGGATTGTGGAAGGGAGAGTCAACCACTAAAGGGTCTTCTAGAGTTGTTGGTTTTCTGTAGAAGGACACTGTTTAGAGGGCTTTAGTATTGAAATGTAAACGATCACACGGCCTGCCATTGTCAAACTTTGTCAAAAGTCATTGTCAAAATCTCCCAGCTATACATTGCAATGCACAAGGCTCTTGATAGCAAGCAATGTGACCTTCACGGAAAGCTGGTTACTGGTAAACTAGTTGAGTTAAGCCATCATTAATTGGTTCACATTTTGAGGGACGTGATTAAAACTGTCATTAAGCTCAGTTCTTGATCCAATTTGCTCCACATTCTAACTAAGCATGTTTACATTACATTCATAGGGCACGGAATTTGATTTTGCTCGTTTGTCCAGGCAATCAGTGCTCTGTGTGCAATGGCCAATAACCGTTTCGGGTATGCCTTGGCCAATGGAACCGTGGGTGTGTATGAAAACAACTCACGCTATTGGAGAATTAAGGTTGGTTCTTTTAAGGTTCTGAACTTAACTAGATCTAATTTTATATTTGCCTGACTAGAGAATACTAACATTTTGCTGACGACTCTGCTAGTATTCATGGGAAAATTTAGATGGAAGTTAAATTAAAATTATACCTTAATTTATTATTTGGGAATAACTGTGTCTTGATGGTGGCTTCTAATTGTGTTGCCTTGGCTAGTCGACTCTGTGGGAATCTTGTTCTACTGAATGTTGATGAATTCATGTAATTTCTTCACATACAGTCCAAGAACCAGGCTGTCAGTATCCACAGTTTTGACTTGAATGGAGACGGGGTACCAGAGCTTATTACTGGATGGAGTAATGGCAAGGTAAGACCTTGTCTGAAGTGGGTAATGTCCATGGCCACGGCTATGGCTATTGACCATAGTGCACCATTTGCAAAAATCAAAACTGAAACCGCAAAAATCCTTTTGGATGCGGCTTAAACTAAGATTCAGTTGGGCTGTGGTCTTGCCTTAAAAAAAGACGTTAAAAATTAGTTGCTACTGAATTTTTACTGAAAAAGCGACTTGTTTCAATTGTATAATTAGTGTCTTGCTCAGCTTAGTTGGCATGGGTGCTGTGTTTCGGTCTGCAATTTAACTATTCTAATATATTTTGTACATCAGTTTGAAGTCAACATTAGACTTCTGTTCCAGAGTGAACAAAGCACTAAGCGGTGCTTAGAAAACAGGCAGTAGGGAGATCATGCTTTGACTAAGTTCTACGAAGGTTTAGAAGCCCTTGTGTGGATTTTTGTGTGTCAGGTGGATGCTCGAAGCGACCGTACTGGGGAGGTCATCTTCAAGGACAACCTATCCTCGTCTGTTGCCGGCATCGTGGAAGGGGACTACCGGATGGACGGGCAGAATGAGCTCATCTGCTGCTCTGTGGAGGGCGAAGGTAAGACATGCATATGCACGAGATCCTTATTCACCGTTGTTGCCATGGTATCTCTCAGCATTTCACTTGCACAGTGCCGTAACGGTGAATGGTGCACACTTCCAAATATTCCATACTCTGGCACACATCAAAATGGATGGGTCAGCCTTGCCTGCCTCTCTAAAACAGTATTGCATTCCAGATCTTGCTTGTTTCAGAAAGCAAGGTGACATCCAATGATGACCGTTAGCAAGTGCACAGACGTCTCTAATGTGCCGCGGTTTTGAGTTTGAATGAAAATATTGTCATCAAATGATAAATGCTATTTTATTTTTGGCCAACGGAGATCAAGTAGCCATGCAAAAAGAGCAGCTGTTGAGGAAATCACATTTTGAAGGCTTCAAAACAGGGTCAGTATGTCTTGTCAAATTTGGCTGCATTTTTCTCTTTTGGCATTGATAAATTGAAAAAAATGGTTTAGTTACCATTAATAAAAGTCACCTCCCAAGAAACTGGTCGTAATCCTGGCTCAGTGACTGAAAGAGAAATCTGCGGACATTATTTGTGTTGCAGTGCGTGGTTACCTCCCAGCATCACAGGACCAAAAGGCTAACTTGATGGACACCAACGTGGAGCAGGAAACCATCCGAGAACTGAGTCAGAGGAAGCAGAACCTCCTGCTGGAACTCAAGAACTACGAAGAAAATGCCAAGGTGAGAGCCAAGGAGTAACCATGCCGACCTCAACGACCAGTCCGTGAGATTTACAAATGTATACCTTGACCACAATGAAACCACATTTAGTATTTCTGGTAATGACACCAAGGATTCCTCAAAAGGGCCCTGCGTACCGTAGCTCTTAAGCTGGGGAAACCTGTAAAGAGCAGACAATGAGAAGCAGTTACAGTTTTAGAGGTGGGAAGGAAAACCCCAGGGGAATATGCTGGGTAAAGCAGGGAATCTGTTACGGACTGGAAGTGCATTCTTCACGTGGATCGAGCCAGGAATCGAACCCAGGCCACATAGTTGTATGGTAAAGTGAGGAAAGAACCATTGCATTAGCCTGACTTTTGCAACCAGTGAGCTCCGTGCATGAAGGAGAAGGTTTTTTTTTTCGTATTTAGTGGTTTTCAATTTCATGTGTCAGTTTCAAATCCCAGTGGATCTGTACATGAACTACTGAATTGCGTCAGAACCCAGTCAAGGAATAAACTTCAGCCTTCTTCTCTGAGAAATTTGTAATAACACAGTGGAAAATTGAGCTGGCCAAAATGGTAGCACTCTTCACATCTTTTGCTCCTAAAGAAATCTAATGCAAACTCCCAAGGTACTTTTACAACTTAATTCCAATTAAATCATGCACAGTGTAGAAGCCCATTTGCCAAACGCCTGTACCAGTTTTCAAGAGGCATCGAGTTCGGTATGAAACAGAAGTACGTTTATCATGGCTGTAGCGTCCTTAACCTTGCAAAATCTTCCCATCGGATGGATTTTGAGGTTGATGGAGAGTTGAGGTCAAGCCAAAGACTTCTAACAAACCAACTGTTTCATCTCATTTTTTACATAACAGGCTGGGCAAGCAGAGCGGCCCTCAGGCATGGGGGAATTAGACAAGGCTCAGATGGGCATCATACCTGCCAACACGCAGCTGCAGACATCACTGATGGTCAATCCTGGTGATGCTAACAAACCTGTAAGCACCCTCCAATCCTCTGAAAATTGTGCGACCTGTGACCCCAGTTGACAATTGTGGATGGATTTTTTTATTTGTGGTAATGGGTTTTGCCCTTTACTGTCATAGTGTTCTTGCTCAGTACTCTCCAAGAGTTCATTTGGGTGTGATTTTAAGACTGCAGCACCTTCTACTCATGGTTGATCAGTAAACATGATTGTTTATTACAGTTTTGGAATACACATCTGTCTAAGACTTTCATAGTTTGCAGTGAATCAAAGGTCGGTGGCTGGCAAAAATCTATTCATGTGTCTGTGATGAAGTCTTGTCTCAAAGAAGCATGTTGCAGAACTTTAAAGATTAAAACAATGCAAAAGTAGCATTTTCAATGTGACATCATGCCTCATGTCTGCTTGATATGATTCCTTTTTGTAGCCCCATGTTGAGCTCTCTGTCTCCACCACCAATGACACCATTGTCAGGGCTGTACTCATCTTTGCTGAGGGCATCTTTGAAGGAGAGAGCCATGTTGTGTAAGTTGACCCAATCCAAGCTGTAAGGTTAAGGAGCAATCCACTAAGATAACAGCTTTATTTATTTAGAGAGATTAATTGAGGAGGGTAGTTAGGTTACCTTTGTCTTAAGTTTTCCTATGGTTATGCTGAAGGTTTCCCGGCTCCCTCATCTAGCAAAAGCTTTCAATTTTCTTTTAACTCTCCTGTGGTATGCACTGATATCAACAGTCCAGTCTTTGGCCAGTGTTGTCCACATAGAACGCGACTCTGCACAGCTTCACTGCGTATAGAGTGGTTCACCAGCACCAAATGACTCGTGTGGTTGTTGTGCTGCCCTCATTATTACTCCAGTCAGTTTATTGTACAGTTACTCCCCTGGAACAATGAAGCGTAGTTGTTGGACGGCACAAACCGTCGTCTGATCTGTCCCTCGAAGGGGTTATTTATTCAGTGAATACAATGGTGTAGCTGTGACAAAGAGTGACTTCTGCATAGAAGGATGAGTCACCAATTCATAAAGCGAAAGAAACATTCAAGGTTGACTTTCTAAGGAATATTTGTGAAGGTGTAAGTGTCGGCTGGAGCTGAGTCGAACTTCCATCTTCAGAATCACTGCGCAGGTGCTTCACTAACTAAGTTGTCAGTGTTGCAGTCGAATCCATCACAAATTCCTGCAAGTCCATCCAGTCACAAATCAGGTCACAAGTAGTTTAGGTGAACTGCAACAAAAGCATTCCTGTGTCCTCGCTACTTTGTTACTCGTGACTGGTCTCATGACTGGACTTGCGGAAGGATGGTAGACTCCACTACAACACTGTCTCTGGGGTTTCTTGGTTTACAAGTATTATGTTCCAGCTTGGCTAGCCATAAGCTCGCAATTTGCCACGGGATCACAAATGTTTGTTTTATTTGTTTATTATTTTTTTGTTGTAGTTTATAGATAGAAGCATGAAAAAAAAACATAAATGAGCCAAATTAGATTTTGTGGTTTCAACTCTAGTCACCCCAGCTTTCAGAATCTCAGCAACAGCCTGAGGGTGCAGGTGGTGCCTCCGAAGGATGTCCCCGTCGACTTGCACATCAAGGCATTCGTTGGAGGCAAAGCAAGGTCTGACAGTCTGTTTGGCAGCATCCCTAAGAAAATTCTATATGTTTTTCCTCTTAAAAAGCACTACCCCCTCCCAAAAAAAACCAAAAAATAACATTTTAATATTGGGTTATAACCTGCAAGGACTTGAATCCAGTGGTAATAACTCACATCATCTGACTACCAATTCTTTTGAAAAACAAATAGCAGCAGTATTTAGATAATTCACCCATATGTGGTTGACATGATCTTTTCGTTATAATGTATGGTTTATAATGTTGCATATTTCAAACCACTGCTAATTCCAGAAACTCTGCAATTAGAAAGAAAACTAATTGTCTCCAATCAAATTTTCCTGTGTTGTGTGGATTCTTTAACAGTTCTCACCATGTTGCTTAATAATAAGCCCCCCAAAAATACAAATCCAGCTAGAAGTTTTCTGCAGAAGCTGTATTAATTAATGAATGTGGTGTTTTACACTTCCTTGTCACAGTAATCAGTACCACGTGTTTGAGTTGACGAGACAGCTTCCTCGATTCTCGATGTACCTGCCCTGCCCTGAAGACACTCCAGAGCCCAAAAGCAGTGTGACATTCACAGTCAATGAGCGCGTGCAAAGGGTAAAATAGTTTTTTTGCCCGCCACATTTGTGGAAGCATTTGGACGAGAAATGAATTCTGGCCTGCCGGGGTTTCATTTTCAGATCCCAGTATCTTTGGGAAAATCCCCAAGATGCTGGCCAGCTTTGTGATCAAGCTCCCATTCTAATGAAACCTTTACCTAATAACGACATCACTGTTTTGCTCATGAATATGGAAATCGCATCTGCATTAACACTATGACCCTGGAAAAAGTAGCAAAAAAAGACAAAAAAAGAAACTGAGTCGGACCTAAATGTCTCTGCCTATGACCCCATTAAAATACAAAATTCTTTTACGAGGACCATTTAGAGTTATCAACTTATTACTTATTTATCTTCGTTCTTACCAGGTATTAATGTGGATCAACCAGAATTTCTTGTTGAATGATGACATCACGGGTAAAGGGGACCTCAGTGTGGGCTTCATGTCACTGCGTGGCTCGGGGCCGTTGTTCATCAACATGCAGGCAAACGGACAGGTGAATGCATCCAAATCTCAACCTTAACCTTGTTGTCTTGTCCTGTCGGTCTGAACGCTCCGGTGGTTACTCCCTACTTAGTGTGCGAGAGTGACCAAGGTCTACCAGTGGCCGTTTGTCAACCACTGGTACCCAGGATTTATTTGTGCGTAGGTTACCCGGTGAAACTGACCAGTGGTTGATAGATGGTCACTGGCCAAACCTGGGCCCTGTGCAGCATTTCCCAAATTCGTGCCAGTGTTAGGATCTTTTTTATATGGGAACATCATCCAACCAACACACAAATACTGATAGCTTTGAAAGCCATTTGGCTCATCTTACGTTGCAAAAAAGGAAGTATGATAAGGCTGGCTGCTTGCGAATGTATTTCAGTTTTGCTATGTTCATTTGAGAAGAAGGTTTCATTGCTGCTTTCCCCAACACCAGATGACCATCAAGACCGATGACATGGACCTCGCTGGTGACCTGATCCAGGCCATAGCCAACTTCCTAGGGATCGAAGACCTTCAAGTCACTGCCGATTTCCCCATGCACATGGAAGAACTCAAGAACGTGCTGCACAAAGTAAGACAAACTTTGTCCTTTTTTTTTTTTTTTTTGGCTTTTTGCAGAGGATGGAAATTTTGTTTCCAATTACGTGTATTCACAGAAAAGAGTGAGAGTGCTTTAGTGGAGAAAGCTAATCCTCCATCAGTGGGAATCGACAAAATAATGTTTTGGATACCATAGGAGTTGTGCGTGAACAACAGAGGGAGCTACAGTATGCAACATTTAATGGGCACAGAAAGGTCTCTTCACTGGTTCCAGTGATGTGCCTTTCACTGTTTCTGTAATGCAAGTGTACCAGTACCAGTGTGCTCAAGACATGATGGTGCCCAGTGATCCTTCAGTACTGCACTCTTTGTATGTACTGATGAGTGAAATGCTTCTGCAACTTTAATATGACGTGGAGTGTAGACCCTCTAATCCCAAATTATCCTAAATCCTACTTGTATGATACCAACCGAAGAATAAAAACAATAATAACAAGCACTTGTAAAGCGCCCTCTATCTAGCAAACTATTCCGAGGCGTTGTATTATCATTATCTCTGCACATTGGGCTCGCACATCACCTGAACATTGCTGAAACCATCTCAGCTCCCGGGGGAGTATGCTAGCCCAGTGCTGCTATTTGGGTGCAAACGGCTGAACAACCGTGTCTGCCCTCACAGGTACCCATCTACTCCTTTTGGAGGGAAAGCCAAGGTTCCTTGTACCAAACCAAGACAGCTAGAGAGAAATGGGCTTATTTGCATCAAGACATTAATAGTTGTAGACAGTAAAAAAGAACTTGTTCTCGGAGGTAAAGGGCGCATTTATATTTCTTCACCCCCCTGCTATTGTTTGCCTAACAGGTGGACGAGTTCCATGCCGTCAGACAGAAGCTGACAGCCGAGATGGCGGATCATTCCAACCTGATCCGAAGCCTCGTAGTCAGAGCGGAGGATGCCCGCCTCATGGGGGACATGTAAGTTCTTGGTATAAACTTCGGGGGGGAAATGTGAATATTTGGAAAGCGTCCACAGCTGGTGGAGTGCGAGCAAGGTAGTCCAGAGGGCAAAGACAAGTTGATCTCTCAAATTACGCCAAGTATTTGTTGCTAAGAGTAGCCCGAGGAGTAGTGTACACTAACATTGTTATGATTATACGATGCTGGAAATTCACGACAAGCAATAGCTGTTAAGATAAATGAGGAAAAGTTTTCTTCTTACACAATCACAGGCTGATTTTGTTTTAAATGTTTACAAGCATCATTGTCCCGCTTTACGAGATGCTCCTTTTGCCAATTAGGTGTAATAATTAGTTATATCTACAATTAGGTGAGGCTATTGGAGGAAAGGCTGTCTGGACAAACTTTTAGACTAATCAGCTGACCAACACTTGAATGTAGAAGCCATTTCTGCCTCTTCATTTGATAGGGTGTGGTGACTTACCAAAGAGCTCATTTAATGTGTGCCGGAGTGTGGTGACATCACACAAGTGATGTCGTCTTAAAGGGACATGGCGGTTAGGAATTAAGTTTTGTTTGTGGGTTACAGGAGAAACATGCGTCGGGGCTACATGGAGCTGTATGATTTGAACCGTGACCTGATCAATGGCTACAAGATCCGCTGTACCAACCACCAAGAGTTACTCAACTGCCTCAAGCTGGTCAACCAGACCATCCAGAAAGCTGGCCAACTCAGAGGTACGTGATCAGAGACCTGATCCTCGTAACATCCTTGAATTCCCATCCAACTCCTCAACTACCTCAAACTGGTCAACTGGACCAACAGAGACAGTTGGCCGACTCAGTAGTACGTGGTCACAAACTGAGGTTAACCCTCCAAGCCACCCATCCACCTGGAGGATTTTGCAGGAGTTAGGAAAGAAGAACTTGGCTATCATTAGAACCCACTCTACCATTGGGCTCCTGAGTTGAATTAGTGCTTTATTTTGAATGATTCAAGTAGGTTTTGAACAGAAACGTCCTAGGAGTTACTCCCCCATGTTATTTGTTCTCTTATTTAACCCCCCTTCTGTGGCATTCAGAAAACCTGAATGGATATTTTTGGAAGGCATTTGATAGTTGAAATTGTAGGAAGGTTAGAATTACAAAAATGAAGCAATGCCCCATTTTCTTGAGGTTTTTGTTGTCACTTTTGTGTCCATCAGTTGGGAAATTCAAGACCCAAGTAGTGTCGTCCTGCCGCGAGGCCATCAAAACGAACAACATCAGCGCCCTCTTTAAGATCATCAAAACTGGGGCGTCTTGATCATGAGAGACTGCAGAGGTAGGCACAGCGTGGCAAAGAGTTTACCGAAGGGGTATTTCGGTAGTAAAGTGTAGTAGGAGGTGCCATCTTTACTGTGCGTGGATTATGTATCGGGTTATGCCTTTGGTTGTCCCGCTGATGAGTTGCCGGATATTACCTATAACTATGCTCAGAAACCGGTGTTCGCCATGACACACAGTTTTCTGTCCCTTACATCAGGAAACCCAAATTGCGCCCTGCTTTACTCGTTCAAACTATTGCCAACACCAGAACCTCTCCTTGTATTTTTGTACCCACTCTCGGAATGGTTGTTTCTTTGAGAGGGCATGGCCACGTTTCCCTCATGAGAGTCTGCTGGAAAAAAAAAACAATTTGCTGGGTTACATTTTGAGAACCCAGGCAGGCCAATGCCGGGAGCCAGTTTGGGGGAGATGCTAAGCTCCGAAAATATTTGTCTTTGCGGATAAAAACAAAATGGTTATTTACTAAATGCTATGCTGTGCACTTTGCTTGGAACCGGTTTGCAGTGAATTCTTGCTTGGTACAAGAGTTTTTGCTAAACAGCATTTTCTTCTTTGGAAACAAAATTGGTTCTGCTTCCTTTTACATAGCATCTTAAAACAGAATATATGGGCAGGAATTGGTTTCTCACTTTTTTGATAGGAATGCAGTGTTTTCAGGTAAGTCTGAACTGGTTAACAGCTAAAGAGATCAAATCGTATTTATTTAAAATTAAATGAACAACAATTTAAAGGATTCTAGTTGGCATAAATGAGTCTGTCGAACATTTTTGCACAACATTGAACTGGAGTAGAGTAGATACATTTATTTCTTCTTTCTCTATTTCCAATTTACATTTTCTCAAAACAGTCCCCCCAAACTTAAATGTCACACTATCAACAAAGGGGAAGCTAAACTTTTTTTTGGGGGGGGTGGTCCTTATTCTGTGACATCAGATCTAGGGATGTATGTATGGGTCTTGGCAGCTGTAAAAATTCTGAGCCAGGATTGAAATGCAATTCTGTGTACATTTCAGATATATTATTCATGTACAGAAGTAATGTTTCAGTTGTTAGAGATGTAAATATGTATGCAAATGTCAGCACACAAGTTGGTACAATACCACACTTGTAAGAAAGAGGCACCAATTCGCTTTTCCATTGGTGTTGTCAAATTCCAGCTTGTTGGTGACAGCCTACAGGTCTTCTTGTGTTAGTGTATTCAATATTTTGTAGATGATTGCAAATTATTGTTTGCAACTTCCAAACTTGTGCCTGCTATTTCAAGTGAGATACTTAGGCATGGAGTGTGCATATTATTAAGATTGTGCAGTGTGTGTGAGGCACTGAGGAAATATTTGGGTTTTGTATTGAGGTCATGTACAAACCTATTGGGAAGATTGGGGCTTATACAAAAGTTCACACACGAATTTATTTTTGAACACTAAGGGTTTATTTAAATGAACATACACATGGTTTGTGCAATGAAAATGTAAAATAAGTATAACCCCCCCCCAGGATTTTACAAGTAGACTCTTATATTTTAAGCCGTCCCTCTGACATTGTGCTAAGTATTCTTTCACACAGTACTTAACGCTCAAGGCATGCCTGTGTTAATTACATGAGAAGATGGAGATAAGAGTTTGTGTGAGTTTTGACTGATCGTGATTGTGGGACTCAATGCGATAGCTTTCTCAACATTATCTACGTAATCTCGACAGCATCCTGTATAACATCCTCTAAGTATGGGGCAAGTTTAGGTGTAAATTACTTTTAGTCTGAGCAGGCCTCTGTGCCATCTCTACCCGGGTTATGTTGGGATGAATCCCAGATTCTTCAAAGTTTACCTGGAATTTTGGGTAGGATTTGACAGGATTTAGGAAGGCAGATCCCAGCCACTGTTATTTCACTTGATGTCTGTTAGAACTTACTTTTCAACAGTGCAAAGAATTTATTGTTGGGTCTTCTGTATTGAGGTGAATTTAGAAGGATTCTGATTGGCTCCATGAAAAGAAGAGGCTTGTCGAGTTAGGGCGCGGAAGATGCAAGGGGAAAAAAGGGAGGGCGGCACTTGTCCTACTTTCTCCCCTTCCCGGAATAGAATTGAAAAAATAAAAAAAGGGAGAAAACCAAAAGAAATGAAATAAACAGATGAAAGGAACTGAAATATGTGTGAAAACCTCCAAATTAACCTCCGTCCACTGTTAATAGTTTATCAGTTCATTCCAAATCAGTGTTTTACTCCTCCACCCCCACAAAAAAGTGCCCCCCCCCACTGGAAAATCCTAGCGACGCCCATGACTTAGGGCTGGTGTACATATTGAATGTCAGTCTTTATTTCTGACACATTAATTTTGATCAAGACAAGAAATCAGGTTGGAGAGCCAAAATGGCAATGTGTATGTATCTATGTGTCTCTCAAGACAATCCACAAGCTCGCAATTGTCCGTATTTTGGGGTCAGCCAAGCCCAAAATGAATTTTTACTCCTGTGAAATTTGGTTTCATTTTGAAATCTTGTCATTTCTTCGAACTTCTCATATGGTTTCTGCAAAATGTTTGTTTTGGGGAGCTCTCAACATTGGCCCTCGTGTAGAAAAATCTTGCAGGTAGTTTTACCTTGGCAGAGTAAATAGCTGTCAACAGAAAAAAAAGTACAGACAGATGTTTACACAAACCTACATTCCTTTTGCTTTTCTAAAGCTACAAATCAACTCAGTGATCAATTTATTGCGACCTTCCAACCCACACGTAGAGATGTTATCACTGTAAGTGTTCAAACAGACTTTTCTTTGTTGAAGTGTTTCCTTGTTTTTATGTAAATCCAGGATGTTGCTGGATCTCTCTGCCACCCTGGACATGCTTGTATCTGCAGTGCACAAATTTTACCAGTCCATTACTTTTAAACATTTCAAACTCATCCAATGTATAAAGAATATGTAGTTTATACTCCATCATCCTAAGAGAAGTACGAAATAATAGACAGTGAGTTGATGAATCTGTGCTTGTGTCAGCCAAGTGCATTCTTTGTCCTTTCTTTGTTCTGTTTCAAAGTAATTCAGGTTTGAATTATAAATTTCTCGCCACATGCCTTTTTCTTTGTAAGGTACAGAAGTTTAGAGGGAAAGGTTTGGGTGATAGGTTCATAGCATTGGAGTTGTGGTCTTTGCGGGAACTCAAAGGCATACAGTGGATATAAAGATTGAGATGTTTCCTCTCTGAAGGTCATTCCCTTTTGTGACGGTTTGTGATAGTGAACCACTGACATAAATCACAGGACATCTGCTCGGGACATCCCCAACTTTTGTTCCATTCTCCCATCACTTCCTTCCTCAAAATGCACTGTTTTCAAGAGTGTGCAAGTTAGCATTAGGCTTTTTGTGGTCTTGTCAGTCAGACCTCTTCCTCCACTACGTGCTGCTGGCGGACACAGATTGATCTGCACAAGTTCTCACAGAGCATGAAATCATGTTTCAGTTATTTTACCGCTGTTGTCTGCTAGCCAGCTTTTTATCTCTTGCAAGAGCTGATGTTGGTTTGTTTAGACATATTTTGAAGCGAGAAACAGTTGGTAAGTGTTTCATTTATTTTACGTTTAGTAATATGTGCACACAAACTTTGGTTTCCGGTCAGTTCATTTATGTCAAATACTTGATACAGCTACAGAAATTAAACTGACGAGATTGTTTTTCTTTCATATTATGGAATGAAAACTGCTTTAATGTTGAGGCATGGTAAGTGTTATTGGGCTAAAAGGTTTTTTTAGAAAAACATCAATGTTGATTTTAACAAACTGGCTATGCAAATCTCACATGGAGATTTTAATTGGCTTTTTGACAACATCATCAACCATTCCTTCCAGCTTGTTGGACTGATCTCACTGCCAGGCAACGCCAAGCATCCTTCACCAGCCCCGGGTTTCCATCCGATTACCCGAACAATGCAGACTGCACCTGGAGGATTACAGCACCCCCTGGCAGCCAGATTGCCATCAGCTTTGTCTCATTTGATGTAGAATTTCAACGGAATTGCCAGTGAGTTTTGGGTATAGGAGGCCTTCACGATTTGGTTGTGTTATTGATGTTATTTTGTCTTTAATAGTGTTTACTGAAAAATATCTGCAGTGACAAAGTTATCAAAGTTATCAAGTGTGGAGACTACTTGGTCAGCATTGGGTATCCAACCACCACCTAATTAGTAACTTTTCAGACCGGGAGGAATTTTATAATAACTAGACCATAGGGAATGCTTAGATTTCGTGTTTATGTTCAAAGGTTGTTGGGTAAGACAGAATTAGCAATTTGCTAATTAGCAAAAATTTGTTTTTACATTCTTTATTGTTTGAATTGGGGTGAGATTTCTGTTTTTCACACTGATCTGGATCTCAATCTGTGATCAAAGAGCTGGTTTGCTCCATTCATTTTGCAGGTTTTGGTGACACTGAACCAACTGCAGGATAATTGATCGAGATTCAGACCATGTGAATAGACAGTCACTATACATGGTTCCTTGGGTATTCATATCATTAATGGGATAATGAGTTCCCCTGCTACCTGTAAATGCACGTGACTAGCTGCTAAGCACACTACAAAAAAATGTTGTGTAGGGAATAACATTATGACCATCCAAATTAAGTGCTACTAGAGGTATATTGCCAGGCTGACTTTTATGCTGTGATAGTGTGACTTTTATGGGATTGTTTTTGTCCAACCAATATTTACATTTACCTGCTTACCACCTTTGTTCTATGTTTTCCAGGTACGATTATCTCACCATATATGATGGCCCTGATCGTACGTTTCCTCAAGTTGGGCGTTACTGTGGACAGGATTTACCAGCAGACTTCACGTCCAGCCTACCAGCCATCTTGCTCCAATTCAAAAGCGACTCTTCGGACACAGAGGGAGGCTTCGAGATCGAGTTTCATGGGATTGGGGATTTTGAAGATGAGGTCATTAGGGAGCCAGATGGTGGCAGTGATGGTGGTGGGGTTGATGAGGGGGGTGATGGTGACTTAGGCGATGGGGTTTTGAGTAGTGGCAACAGCAGCAGCAGCTGGGATTCCTTTCCAGGTGAGGGCTATGGTGGTGGTGGTGATGATGCAGTGGGTCAAGGTGGTGATGGAGTGCGAGACATCAGTAATGGTAACACAGATCCCACTGGAGGCCCTGCTGTGAATGCTGATGGTGCTGAACAGCATCAGACTGTTGAAATTGATGGTAAGTTCCTTGGAATGTTAACGGAGATTCATTTGTTTCTGTGCTGTTTTCTTTGACAGGACTTGTTTTGTGCACTTTTTTCTAAGGTTTAAAACCAGTTGGGTTTCCTAAAACAAAGACATTCACATTGGCAGTTGGTAGGGTACCCGTACAAAATTCAAAGCATTGTGGGTTCAAATCTCATTCTAACAGTTGTAATGACTCTAGTCAATTACTTGACTCGAGTGCGACTCGAGTCTCTGCAGCCAAATGACTCAACTCAAATCCCTCATAGAGACTTAACTCAAGTACAAAGTTTATAAGACTTGAGTTTCAAAACAAAAGCAAATTTTCAGTTGGCTAGATACCTGTCACCCTAATTTATTTTCAGTTTGTCTAAGTGAAAATAGAAAAGCAACAAACGACTTACTGGTAGTTGTGTTTTTATTGTATTTTGTTCAAACATTTGTGACTCAAATTGACTCGAGCCTGTGACTTGACTGGACTCGATTACACAAAGTGACTTGACTGGACTCAACTTCTTGACCTAACGACTTGACTCGAGTCACAATGTTAAAATGACTTGACTTGAGTCACCAAATTTAGTGACTTGTTACAACACTGCCTTCTGGTTAATTTCTCTGTTCATTTTTACAAAACAGTTTGGTCATGTACATCCAGACTGAAAGGTGGAGGCTACTTCATCATCGAGCTTATGAGACTTTTTCCTTGTGACGCCATCAAATTTTGCTGATGAAAATGTTTTGAAAAATGGGCTAATTCCCCCTTTTTTAGACCTTTTCCTTAGTTGTAGTGTCATTTCCTTATCACGTCCATACTAAGGGACTCGTCAAAGGATATCCTTGCAGCTCTTGCAGCACATGCTATGTTTATTTTCCTGGGGCATTCGCTCCCAAGTCATTAAACAAACTAACAGTTTTCTATAGTTTTTTGCACTAGCTTACAAAAGTGAAAGTATACAAGAGCAGCTCACTTAAACGTTTTGCTTTTCTCTTCTCGCCATGATCACTTATCAGGCTGTCATCAAGAATGGCACAATGCTCGCCATGGCAACATCACATCACCAGGATATCCTAGTCCGTATCCAAGCAACGCCGAGTGCACCATTGTGATCAATGCTCCACCACGACATGGCATCACTCTGACGTTTCACTCTTTTGATACGGAGGAATTCTTCTGTGTCTTTGATTATGTGCTGATAAAAGACAGTATTTCAGCAGGTGATTATTTTGTTGCTGTACGTGTGACATTCTATATGTCTTCCTGCAATGGCAATCTTTCAATTTATTTCCCGGTCGTAGTTCAAGAATAAAACTTCCTTTGTTGATGAAGGAGGTCCCCTAAATTTTCCAAAGGGCAGTTCAGAAAATATGGATGAAAGGGCTTCTGCTGGTACATGTGGTCGATTCACGGGCATTTTATTTTTTATTGCTAGTTTTTGTTGACTAGGAAAAGATAGTTGCCACTTGGTGGCTTAAAACTTGCAGGCAAAATGATCTGCATGGTGTTTTGAGCTCTCCGTCTCCCAAAAGTATCAGAACTTGACCAAATACACAGGTTGTGGTCAGCTTCAGTGAATATGCCAATGCTGCTGTCTTTGAATCTAGAATCAACTACATGTATTCGAAAATTACCAATATCTCACTACTTGCAGCTATCCTCATTTCAGTTTTGAACATTAAAACCATGAAAAATATCATCCTCATCCTTACCATTTGTGTCATGTAGTTGATATCAGAGCACACATCAATTTCCCCACTAAATCTGCATATCATAAAAGGTCATATATCCATTATTTGAAACCTGGACTGGAAGAGCAGCTTCACTAGGACACAGTTCCTTGCAGTAATCGCAATTTCTTTCACA